CTTATACAAAGAAAAGAATATATTTAAACTTCATATCCTAAAATAGCAAGAAAAGAAACTCAGACTAATTTATCTGCGGCCTAAACCAATGCTTTACAATTTTTATTTAATATTTAAAAACAATTAACTTAATATAAAAATCTGTAATTTAAAATATACCATCAAGTTTATATATAATTTTAAAATAATACACTCTACCCTTAATTGATCTGATTGGTCATGTAGATCTTCATGACTTTGTTTATACAATTTTATTGGTTAATCTATTTTTAGATATCACGAATATTACATTCAAATTTAGGTGAGCCCATATCGATATGCATTGTCGGAAAATCAAAATTTTACTACTTGATTGGTCATAAGTCACGTGAACGCAACTGGCTTTAGACGACCCCTTATTTTGGACAAACTTTGTTTTATTATAAACCACCCTTAAAATTTTATAGAAAGAACCTTCTAATGCTAAAGAATTTTGTGAACTTATAACGGGAATGTAAACTGACAACTTTTTTTCTATTAAATAGGTCTAAAAAACAAAATTTTCACATAAAATTTAGGTGCGCCGATCATTAGACCACTATTAAAATTTTTACACACATGTGATGAAAATTGCTGAATTTAAATAGATTATGCTATATGTATTTCTACATCAGAGCTTTTCGAAATTTCTCTTCCACACTAATTATCGCATCTCAAAAAATACATCTATCAATCATATTTGAGCAACATGACCTGAATGCTTTTTTTTGATTAATTTTGCGAAGCATATGCGATGCGAAAAAATGGTCAATTATGCGCATAGCATCGCATCATTCTGGACACCCTAATATCGGGTGACTGTTAGACGTCACCCTCATGATAATCAGTGATATCAGCTACATTTTTTTATGGTGATACTAGGATGGTTCCAGAAACCTCCAGAAAGCTAGATGCTTAAAAATTTTCAGAAAAGTATATGGCATTTAATAGATAAATTACTATTTTAAGATTTATTTGAGTATAAACATTGTTTTTCTCATCAATTTTATTTTAAATGCGATGGGATTTAAATGCTTAAGCTATTTACATAATAGACCATTGGAATTAAACTGCCATCGTCGTGACATATACGTAATATGCATATTATGCCTGTCACATCTAAAAGAAAGAATTAGTGTCCGAAGTTTTACGTTCACTCCGCTTGGACTGAAGCATAATATTGAATTACATGAATTAGATAAAAAAAAATTTGTAAATTAAAGGTGCACATAATTGTCAAGTTACCTCAAAAAACGCTCGAACATCTTGCTCTGTCACTGTCTTTCCAGAATCATCAAATGGTTTTAAAAATTCCACAAGATCATCTCTGTGTTTTAACAAGTAAAAATGATATATGTGAATGTTGATGCTTACAAAAATTATATACTTTATAAAGTCGGTTATACTTTAGTTTGGTATATGCAATCGCCCCTATGAATAAGGTTTGAGTCAATGCACTAAATAACGAATAAATTAAAACAAGTCGCGTAAAATAAAAACCTTCAATTGCTGTAACTCTATCCATTTGCGTTAAAAACTTCATTCCGCTGTCAAAAAGCGAAGTATCTACAAATTCATTTTTTCCAAAATCAGAATCAGTATATGACAACGTTTAAAATGAATTGACCAACTCACGCGTATCATCATCATGTGGAGGTTCATAAGTTTCTTCTTCTTGTAGGATAAATTCTATTTGGTGCGATTTATAAAGGTACATACACTAAACGAGAATATGTCGTTATTTATAATATGCTAAATTACTAGTACTCATGTATTCATCATATACCTTGTTGCATCTGCACAGTTCATCGCGCCAATTTTGTATGCAAAATAAATCAACATCAATGCTATCCTTAACAGATTCCCATCGTTCAAGTTTGCATTCATTTTCATTTTTCGCCTTTTTGGATAACGCAGTAATTTTTAAATCGATTTCCTGGCCTTCGCCTAATTTTCTTTTATTTGTCAAAACAGACGTTTCAACTTGAAGTTGGTCATTCTTTTGCTTCTTATCATTATCTGTTGTTTTAGCTTCTTCGTTTTTCCTTACTGTTGCTCCTGAGAAGAACATATACGAGTTTTTATAAAGCTTAAGAAAAGAATGCTTGCTAGTACATGTGCGACAGATATATTCTTCAAAACTATCCAAATCAGGCAGCTACAATAATTTGACCGATGTCGACTTAGTTCAATATGTTTTAATTTCTGCTAGCTTATTACATAATATATAAAATGTACAAACCGAAAAATTTTTTTCTCCTTGTTTTTCCCCATCAATGCAATTTTCATGAAACCAATCTTCACACAAAACACACTGCAAGTAGAAAGATATAACGTTTCATATATATATTTTTTGGAACTACACGTCATATAACTTATATAATATTTACTTGATGCATATTGGCTTCCTCTCGTTCTGGATCGTATTCAACCTTGCACCTTTGATTTCATTTAGTAATTTGAAGAAACAAATGATGTAAATGTCTACTTATAAGATTAACTTAGAATACAAACCAGCAAAACCGGCCTTTAAAATTATGATTATAGAAGTTGTTTTCATTTAACGCGTCTTGTGGCTTCGGTTCTAATTGACATGAACTTCCTTCAAAACGTGCTGTTCCGCAATCACATCGGAAATTACGCTTGTTAAACAGCTCGATAAGGTCATGATCTTTAAATAGTTTAAAAGGTAAGGAAGTAGTAACTTTGTTTGATAAATGCAAATGCGCTTTCTTTATTTATTACCTGCATGACAAGCAATGGAACAAGAATAACAAACACCTCCTGGACCAGAACCTGTGCTAGACTTGCAAGTTTTACAAGCATATACAGCCTGACGCAAATATCCCTTACTATATGTGCAGCGATCAAAATTCCATGGTAGAACTTCTCTAGCTTCTTCTTCTAAGATCTTTTGCAGCTCCAAGAACTCTCCAACTGTTACTGTATCTTTCGTGTCTTCTGAAGCCATTGCAGAAAATGTTTTTGTTTATCAAAAATTCTTGAATTTATATCGATATCGGCCATGTGCCTCGAATTGGTTCTTGTAATACAAACTCCCAAAAAAGGGGGACGTCTAAAGCCAAACTACCCCAGGATCGCCAGAAAAATTACTATGTAATTTTTACTGTCACGTGATGATCAACAAAATCAAGCCAAT